TTTGTTCAAACGTAATTAATTTATGTTTTTGAGCGATTATACTGTGTGTACAACTCAGACTCAAAAAATATTTTTCTTTAAAGATAAAATTATCTTACTTACAGCCGGTTTCCTTAAACATCTGTGAAGCAACTCTGTTGACATAGCCTCTTTTTTGATATGAAAAGTAAAACGACCGATATCTCCTCCAAACAAACAAACATCATCTAACTTTTAGAAGACATGGTATAGCGTAGGAAGACCCCCAGTGGTGAACAGATTTATGATATAAAGTGTCATCTGCTTCAGCAAAGCGCCTTATTAAACATACGACGTACCATCTAACTAAAGATTATTGCCGAAAACATCACTGATAGCAAAAGTATTCCACTCAGTCATTATAGGTTTTAATTCTCCGCTGTACTTCTAGTCAGTTTAATTCACCAGATTGTCTTCATCTATGCACGTTATTCTAACTTATTTTAATTCTGATCTATATAATTAACTTATCTTTCGTCAGAAGTTATTGATAATGGTTGTTGAAATTATGAAGAATAATAACATACGATTTTTTTCTATTGTTGCCTTTCCTTAATACCTTTTTGTTTTATCAAATCCATTATTTGAATATACAGTTTTATAGAATACAACCATTCTTTAATTTTTACCTCAACTTGATAAAATTCTATTTTCCCTAGCGCTTTATAGTAGCACTTTCTAAGTAACAAAACCAAACTTCAACCTGTCTTCCAATTCGTATTTTCGTTAGTGTTTCATTCTAACAGCACTTTCTAAAGAACAAAATCATACTCTAACCTATCTTCCAATTCGTATTTTTATTCCTTTTAAACACAACCTGGTCTGGACTGGTGGTTAGGGTACTCAACTCGCAATCTGCGTGTCGCGGGATCGAATCCCTTTACCGAACATTTTCGCCCTTTCAGCCGTGAAGACTTTATAACGATAGAGTCAATGCTACTACTCATTGGTAAAGAGTAACCCAAGAGTTAGTGGTGAATGCTGTTGACTAGCCGTCTTCCCTCTAGTCTATCACTTCAAGTAGCTTTATGTGAAAATTCAACAACAACAACAACAAGCCTTCTAAACGCCACTTTCTGATGAATAACTCCTACTGTATTTCAATTCGCTAAACGTTTGTTTCTGTTCATGTTTCGTTCTAGTCAAAACTTTCTAAAAAATGCAATGGCACTTCAACTATTTCTTTATCCGTTACTTCTTTATCATAATGAAGTTCTAACAGAATGCTACATTTAAATTAACTCTCGTCATTTCAGAATTGTATATTCGTTGGTGATTCATTTAAAGCAATTCTGACCTTAAGTATAAGCAAGACAAGTAACTACTTGGGGCAATTCTAAACAAAAGAAAATGTTTTAATTTTGTTATTGTAGTTGTTTAAACCCTTTAAGCAACAGTTAGGTACCTTATTTTAGCTTTAATTTAGATAAAATGTTTTAAGGGGAACAGTGCCCCCTTAATTCTCTGCAAGCGCACACCATATTAATTAATTGTGTGACCTGATTACTCTGTTGCTTAGGTCCTTGAACTTTCTAACACTGGTCCTAATCCTTGGGCATGTGCCTTCAACAAAAAACAACCACAGCTCCACCATTTTTCATATCACAGGATTTTTATCTTTGCTGATCATAATAATTCAACGTTACAACACATGGGTGCCTAACGCATCAGATAGAATGGGCCACCCAACTTTTTCCGCTTAGTGGCCATACATTTAACAATTGATATTACAGTATGTTTTTCAGTTCCACAAGGGTTCATTATTTGGTGATCCTTCCCAACCCATGTAACCTATTGCTAATTTAGGTTTTTCAGTAATATTGCCATCCTGAGTATCTTGATTAATTATATAGAATCCTAGCTTCACTAGATAATCAGATCTTTCAAATATCCACGACCTAAACTCTTTATGCATTTCAAGACCAATTCTTGCAAGAATAAACTCTTGAAAGATAGCAAAATAATAATAATCAATATTTACTTTTAGTTTGTGTTTTTATGTTCCAAGTTGTTGTTTTTTGTGCTATTTTTCAGACTGATTATATATCCAGCTTACATCTCTTGTTTCTAATAACTTTATGTCGTTTCCTGGTAGATCTGAATCTAGAACTAGGTCGAGCCGCCAAAGGTTTCAGTGATAATGTGAACCGTAAGTCAACAACGTAATACTGTCTGGGAAGGCGGAACATCTGTAAAAGATTAAACACATACACACGGACATCGTAAAACCTCCTACACAGTTTGTTTCTTCCGCAGTGAAATCTTCCACATTTCCATCCCTCTCTAGGAATCGGTTGATGGTTATACTGTAGATAAATAAGGTATCGCCAACTGAAGATATGAAATTCTTTCAACAGCATTAAGTGAACATCTCTTATTAAAACTTTTAACTTATGTAATCTGAACATGCAACTTCCATCTCAACACTTACACATAGTCCCGTTACTACATACTTGGAGAACCTGGGGACTTTTGGACCGTATTTCACAATATGTCAAACTAAAATTGATTCTCAAGTCTAAAAAAACCGTAAAAACAAGTAAAATACTGAAAAATAATGTAATTTAAAATAGTTTATTAAAATCATAGATATGACTAATGTTATTTCGTAAATTTTTTATGTACTAAAAATTAGCTTTCAGAATATATATATATTTTTTTTACCCGAGTGAAAAAAAATTGTAGAGGGAGAAATTCCGGAGACGTTCTGTCGGGACCCAGGGCGCCACTTGTTCTTCCTCACCCTGTCAATGGCCTGCGTTATTCATACTGATTTAGTTGCACTAAACTTTTAACTAACATCTTAACCAAAGTTGAATATAAGAGAAACTGGTACCTTATACACTCTGGTATAGAACTAAACCTTTAGTAAAACTAGCGTGTATACAGTAGAAACTCAACAAAGACTTGTACCTTATACGCTGTGGCATAGCACTAAAACTTTAGTAAAACTAGCTTGTATACAGTAGAAACTCAACAAAGACTTGTACCATAGACATTCTGGTATGGAACTAAAACTTTACTTAATCTAGCTTTTATGTGTATATTTTCAAACATTGCAAGAAAGAAATTAAGCAAATATAGTATTGTCGCTTCTACAGCAACTGTTGTTTCATCCAACAAGAAATACAATTTTATAAAAAAAATTCTTCTTTATAATAACAAGACATAGCTTAGTGGTTAGAGTAGTGGGACGCGGGTCGACAGTCTAATGTTTAAGCACGCGATATACCGCTGAATGCGCTCGCACTAGCTGTGTGCGCGTTATAAAAGTGACAGTCAAGCCCGCTAGTTAATTAATGGTTGCCGTTTAAGATACTGATTGTCCTTCTTTTTCTCAGCAGTTTTATTAGGGATGCTATGCCTAAACGTTTGATCTCTCACCTGGCTGTTCAGTCCATGTGTCACGAAAGATGGCGTTGAGGATAAAAATACCACCTACCATTTCTATGATAACTATATTTTCATTTAACAAAAAACGATGCAAAATTATTGTTCATTTAGTATCATTTTCACATATAACAGGCAAGAAAGCACATGAATAGAAAGCTCTGGTATCTATACAACAAGTGTTTTAACATACAGCAAGGAAGAAGACAAATTTCAAATTTTAAGCTCATTCTGTATTTTTTTTTTTCAGAAAATAAATTAGTTATTAATCCATCAAAAAGGGATTTCTAAGAACTCCAAAAATATAATTCGAGCTGAAAGTTCATTCACTTTCTCAACATTTGTGAGAAATGACAGTTCGGTTTATTCTTTCACTTCTCATATTAATCAAAAAACTGTAATAGCGGCTCAAAAATATGTAATAGAAAACACTTGATCTATGTTTAGTTTCGGGTGTTTATGTTTACATTATCAGAGTAGATTTAGTTTAGGATTCGTAATTTGTTAAATAGGAAATTAAACTTCTTTTACTTATATTTTGGATTCAGTGAGTACTCTGTAATTGAGTGAATAATATTCGCATCAAATCATCAAGTGAAAACCCGCCATAAAAGATTTAGTGTTAAAAATGGGACTGACGGTTAAAAAATACTACATACAAGTCTTTGAAGTTGCATTGAAATTGAAAGCATTTTCTCGTGTTTCAAGATAGAAAAATGCAGTGTCTGACAACGAAAAGGGAGGAAACAAGACGAAGGACCAATGAAGTGACCTCTATTTTAAGAATAACTGATCAGCATTAAGAAAAAAACAAATCAAAATAAACAATACAAAACAATGTTAATGACAAGATCACAGGATAATCATTGAGAATTTCTGATCAAAATTAAGTAAACTGTGGAACTCAAAACCGAAAATTAAGTTATAAATTAATGAAGCCAATCCTGTACCTCAAACAAACTAGAAGTACACAAGAAAACTGCTACAATTATAATGCATAGAATCATCATTTAGATAGTCTCGCTGTTAAAGATATCATTGGCCGATAATATCCTATAAGATTTGGCCATATTCATCAAGTTTCTGAAGGAACTGTGAACATAGCAAGGCCAGAGTTCTATGGAAGGAAATGATATCAGGTTTGTAATTTGCTGTTCAAGAAACTATTGGTCAGCAAAAACACTATACTTGTGATCGTGATTAGAGAAAAAAAATTAGATGAGTTTCAAATAGGGAAGTTTCGAGGATCACAATCATGAACAGAAAAACACGAACATTGCTCATGCTAGTGATGTTTAATCATGAAACTATCATAGATAGCTGCGAAATTCAACAGGAATTCGACTGTTCCATTTCTCTGAAAAGTTTGCTGTTAAGGAGACTAAGCCAAGAATGAGTGAAACCATAAAATTAATTTTTTTTTACACTACATTAGGCCTGCAGTTTCTGTTAACAAGAACTCTTCTTGTCCCTCATGTCAACCAGCAGTATTATTTCTTTAAAATACTTCAGAGTCAGCTTTCAAAAGGTTTAAAGCAACAAATTCCGTTATAGAACAATTTAATTTTAGTAAAAAACAAAATATAATGTACCTGAAAGACCCCTCCGATCTCATGCATAAAACGAAATCTATCCCTTTTCGGATTCTGCACTTTCGTTACATATCTATATATTCAGAGAAATGAGAAACTCGTCAATCTTAGAATTATCATCTTACTTCGGATCCTTCGTCTGAACTGGGTCGGTTGTTTGGTTAGTCTTACTTCATAGCACATCCGGACGTATTCAACATACTTGAGATAATGTAACTCCTTGCATGAACATATTTTCCTTTTCCGGTAATTTAACTCTTCATATTTTCCTTATCATTGGTGTGGTAGGGTAGTTTAAACTTTGCAAAGTCTGTTGATCATGCTTCGTCCATTAACTACACAAAATTTTTATTTATGGTCTACATGCTGAAGAGGTGACATTTGCTGTCGTCATATTTCCGGTTCTTTAATTCGCTATTCTGAATAATTCCTATTATGAAATAAGCCTTATATTTGTGAAGACGTGACTCATTGAGTTTCGTGGAACTTTAACTTAAACTTTCATTTTTACTAAAAAAATGAAAATGTCACTTAAAGTGACAGCTACACTAAAACATAAAGTAAATTTTAGAATAAAATAATGACACGAGTAAAATGTTCCAGATCATTCTTTTACTGTAGACTACTTGACGAATTAGTAACTGTAGTGTACACTATTCAACTACTTAACAAAATATGTTTTAATTTTACTTTCTATCGTACAGCACAATGCAAAACAATATAAACTTTACATCTATTGTTCAGAACAATGCTTAACAAGTAATAATTCAAAAATTATTCTACAGAACAGTATTTAACAAGAAATACTTCAACTCGCTCTTACACAAAAATACTTAAACATGAATACTTCAAGACTACCCTACAAAACAATACTTAATAAGAAATAATTCAAGTTTATTCTAAAGAAAAATGCTTAGCAAGGAATAGTTCAAGTCTACACTATAGAATTATACTTAACAAGGAATTTATCAAGTCTATCCTACAAAACAATACTTACCACGAAATACTTCCAATCTCTCCTGTATAACAATACCCCACAAGGAATACTTCAAGTCTATTCTAAACAACAATACTTCCCAATGAATACTTCAAGTGTACCCTGCAAAACAATACTTAAAAAAGGAATACTTCAAGTCTAAGCTAATGAACAATACATAAGAAGAAATACTTCACATCTATCCTACAGAACAAGACTTACGAAGGAATACTTCAAGTCTGCCGTTCATAATAATGCTTTAAAATGAACATTTTAAATCTACCCTACAGAACAATACTTAACAAGAAATACAACAATTCCATTTTACGGAACAATACTTAACTAGGAATACCTCCAATCTATACTACAGAAAAATACTAAACAATAAAAACTTGAAGTTTATCCTAAAGAATAATACTTAACAAAGAATATTTCAAGTCTGTCAAATAGAAAAATATTTAACGAGAACAATGCTATCTAGGAATACTTCAAGATTATCCTACAAAACAATACTTAACAAGAAATACTATAAGTCTATTCCAAAAAGAAATATTTCCGAAGAAATACTTCGAATCCACCACGTTCAAAACTACTTATCAAGAAATACTTGCAGAACAATACTTAAAAAGGAATACTTCAAATCTATTCTACAGAACAAAACGTAGCAAAAAATACACGAAGTATATCCTACATAACAATATATAACGAGAAATATTTCAAGTCTGTCTTAGAAAAGAATACTTAGCAAGGAATACTTCAAGTCCATCCTACAGAATCATACTTACTAAGAAGTACTTCAATTCCACCCTCCAGGACAATACTTAGCAAGCAATACTTCGATGCAATTCTAAAAAACAATACTTACCAAGGAAATTTCATGTTTATCCTGCAGAGTAATGTTGAGAACAGCACAAACATCCCATTGTGTAACTTTCTGCTCAACAGAAATCAACTAACTATAACAATACTTAGCAAGGAAATCTTCAATAATTAACAAATAATACTTCGAGACTATTCTAAGGAGCAACACTTAACAAGAAATATTTCAAATCTATCCAAGTCTACCTACAGAATAATGCTTACAAAAGAATGCTTCTAGAAAATAATACTTAACAAAGAATACTTTAAGTCTTTCCTTCAGAACTTTCCTCCAAATCTATCATAAATAACAATACCTAATAAAAATATTTCAAGTATATTCTAAAGAACAATTCTTAACAAAGAATACTCCAAACCTATCAGAAAGAACAATACTTACTAAGAAATACTTGAAATATATCCTACTGAAATGTACTTAAAAAGAAATACTTCAGGTCTATCCTACAGAACAATACTTAAAAAGGAACACTTCAAGCCTATCCTACAAAATAATATTTCACAAAAAATATTTAAGTCTATCTTTCAGAACTATATTTAACAAAGAATACTCAAAGCCTATTTTACAAAACAATGTTCAACAAAGCACAAACAACCCACTGGGTAGCTTTCTGCTTCATAAAAATCAAACATCTGGACCAATACTTAACAAGGAATACTTCAAATCTATTATACATAACAACACTTAAAAGATATGTTTCAGGGCTATTCTAAGGAACAATCTTGACCAACGGATACTTAAATTTAATTCTCCAGAACAATACATAGCAACAAATACTACAAGATTATCTTATAGAACAATGTTTACCAAGGAGTACTTCAAGTCCAAATTAAAAACAATACGTATAAAGGAATACTTGATATCTATAATAAATAACAATACATAACAAGAAATATGTCAAAGCTCATTTTAAGAACAATACTTAACAAGGAATACTTAAAATCTATCACATACCAAGAAATACTTCAAGACTACCCTAACAAATACTTAACTAGAAATAATTTAAGAGTATTCCAATCAATAATACTTCCTAAGAAATACTTCAAGCCTACCATACAGAACAATACCTAATAAGAAGTACCTCAAGTCTATTCTACACAACAATACTTAACAAACAAATACTTGAACTCTATCTTACAGAACAACACTTAACAAAAAAAAATACTTCAAATATATCGTAAAGAACAGTGCCTACCAAGGAATACTTGAAGTGTATGCTACAGAACAATATTTAACACCAAATACTTCAAGTATATCCTATAGAACAATACTTACCAAGGATTTATTCAAGTCTACGCACTGAATAAAACATACTTATCACAGAATACTTCAAGTCTATCCACTGAATAATATATATATATATATATACTTATCAAAGAATACTTCAAATCTATCCTACAGAACAATATTGGGCACTACACAAATAGCACACAATGTGGGTTTATGATTAACAAAAACCAACCAACGAGAACAATAACTAATAAAGTATATTTCAAGTTTATCCTACAGAGCAATAAATAACACATAATATTTCAAATATATCCTACAAAACAATACTTGATAAAAAATACTTAAAGACTATTTTAAATAACAATACTTAACAAGTCCATTATACAGAACAGTACTTAACAAGTAATACTCACATCTATCCTTCAGGACAATATTTAATAAGGAATACATCAAGTCTATGTAACAATAAATAACGAGAAATGCTTGAATTATATCATTCAGAACAATACTTCGAAGGAATACATGAAGTTTAAACTAAAAACAACACTTAAAGAGAAATATTCAATTGTATTCTTCAGAACAATACCTAACGATAAATATTTCACTTCTATCTTGAAGAGCAAAACTTAACAAAGAATACTTCAGGTCTAATCTACAGAATAATACTTACTAAGGAATACTTCAAGATTATACTACAGAACAATATTTCGTACAGCACATTGGTATAGCTTAACAGAAATCAACAAATTAGAATAATACTTAACAAGAAATACTTCAAGTCTATTCTAAACTACAATAACTACCAAAAGATATGACAGCCCTACCCTACAGAACAACAATGAAGAAGAAATACTTCAAGTCTATTCTAAAGTACAATAGCTACCAAAATATATGACAGCCCTACCCTACAGAACAATAATGAAGAAGAAATACTTCAAGTTTTTCATACAGAACAATACTTAGCAAAAAATACTTCAAGTCTATCCTACAGAACAATACTTAATAAGTAATATTTCAAGTCCATTCCACAGAGCAATACTTAACAAGGAATACTTCATGTATGCTCTAAGTAACAATACTTAAAAATTAGTACTCAATTCTGTCCTTCAGAACATTATCTAACGATAAATACTTCAAGAATATCTTAAAGAACAATACTTAACAAAGAATACTTCAAGTCTATTCTAAATAACAATATTTTCCACGAAATGCAGCAACTGTATCAGAACAACACATACCAAGGGATACTTCAAGTCTACAGAACAACATTGGGTAAAGCAAAAGTAACCCACTGTGTAGCTTTTTCCTTAAAAATTGAATAATACTTAACAGTTGCCTTACATTCCAGTATACTTCAAGTCTATTATATAGAACAATACTTCCCAATGAATACTTGAAGTGTACCCTAAAGAATAGTACTTGACAATGCATTCTTCATGTATGTCCCATATAACAATAATTACGAAGAAATAATTCAAGTTTTTATTACACAAAAATAAAAAATACGTTACAACAAATATTTCAGGTCTATCCTACAGAACAAGAAATAACAAGAAATACTTCACTTCAATCCTACAGAGCAGTACCTAATAAGGAACTGTTCAATTTCATCCTACATAGCAATACTTAATAAGACACACTTCAAATCTGTCCTATAGAACAGTAATGAGCAAGAAATTCTTCAGGTCTACCTACAGAATAATGCTTACAAAAGAATGCTTCAAGTATATTCTACGGAACAATACTTAACAAAGAATACTTTAAATTGTTCCTTCAGAAAAATATTGTGCACTGCACAAATCGCCCATTATGTAGCTTTGTGCTCAACACAAATCAACCAAACAGAATAATACTTAAGAAATAATACTTCAAGTCTACTCTAAAGAAAAATGCTTACTAAGAAATACTTAAAATACACCATAGAGAAACACACGTAACAAAGAATACTTCAAGTCTCTTTTGTAGAACAATACTTCCAAGCAATACTTCAAGTGTACCATGTAGAATAATACTTAAAAAGGAAAACTTCAAATTTGTTCTACAGAACAATACTTCCAAGCAATACTTGAAGCCTAGCCTACAAAACAATACTTAACAAGAAATACTCAAATCTATCC